AATCAGGAGCACCCCGAGCACCACCTGGCCATCGGAGCTGCCCCCCCCGAAGGTCAGCCCACACCCACCCCGTCAACCCCTTCTTCCCCGTCCCCCAACCCTCCAACAACCAGTCGCCAGACCCCTCAGAGAACCGAAATGCAATTATCAGGATGGACAGCATGCACACAGGACAGAGCCGCATGCCAGCCCAGTTCAGGCCCGCACCTGATGCCCCCCACCCCCGACAAGCACGCAAGCCAATAACGACCTACAGGTGAGCCAACCAACACTACCCAGCTACCAATCTAACTAGCGGCACACAACAGCCAAGTAATGCGCTGCACAGGAGAGATGCCAGCCGGCGCAAACCGCCCCCATCCCCACCGCAGCCAGAGAGACCACAGACCCCACCCACGGCTACACCGTGACCCACACTGCACGTTCACCACCAGACCGAAACCAACTACAAGCATCCCCCCCCGCCAACCCACACCGCCATGCCCGCTGCCCGCCCCCTCCCCCCAACCCGGACCCACACACAGGACACACAGAGAGGCAGCCAAGCACCTAGCGCCACCACATCCGCACAGCGCACGAGTCAAAATCACCATCCGCGCACCAATACAGACAACCATGCGACACCCAAGCAGAGTGGCTACCCACCCCGCAGCAGCGGCACAGCGAATACAGGGCAAACACCGGTCCCCCCGTCAAGCCCGCGCCCAAGGCATCCCGAGCACCGCCCCCCCCGCCAACACCACGTCATCAACCAACATTTAAAAAAAATAGAAAAGTCCCCCATGCCCGCACTGCAATGCATCTAAGAATCAACCCACCCCGAAACACACCTACCGGCCGTACGGGACCCTGACCGGCAAGGCAGCACACACCCACCCCCATTAAGTGATAAAGTTGATCAAGGGGGACCAGAGAGATTGGAATTGTGTCAATTTGTTTTTTTTACAGCAGACATTTTCTCCATGCTAATGTGATCTATAAGGTGATTCCGATGTTGGGTGATACTTATATTCTTTTTGGCCTTCCAGTTCATGAGGATAGTTTTGTTGGCGATGCATAAGGCAGTGAGAAGCATGTATGATGTGTCAACCTCTATACTAATGTCACTTAGGTCCCCCAGCACGCAGAGTGATGGGGAAACTGGGACGGGGTAACTTAGCCATCTTCTGCCAGAACTTTTGAACAGGTGTACATTGCCACATAGCATGCATGTAACTATCAGATATAATAATAATAATAATAATAATCCTTATTTGTAGAGCACTTTTCAAAAACAAGTTACAAAGTGCTTTAACAAGTGTAAAGAATAATACAAAAAAGATAAAAGCATGAAAATTTAATATAAAATTAGTAAAATACAATAAAATAAAAGGGATAAAATAAAGTCAAATAAGATCAGGAAAGGCTCTCCTATAAAAGTATGTTTTAAGAAGGGACTTAAAAGAGTTCACTGACTCAGCCGACCTGATTTCCTCGGGCAGGCTGTTCCAGAGCCTCGGGGCCCTGACAGCAAACGCTCTGTCCCCTTTAGTTTTCAGTCGAGACTCTGGAACAGACAACAGACCTCTGCCCGAGGATCTCAAGGTACGTGCTGGTGCGTATGGGACTAAAAGGTCAGAAATATAACAAGGCGAGAGGCCATGAAGAGCTTTAAAAGTGATCAATAGAATTTTAAAGTCAATTCTAAAACATACTGGGAGCCAGTGTAATGAAGCTAAAATAGGAGTAATGTGGTCATATTTCTTTGTTCTGGTTAAAAGCCTGGCAGCTGAGTTCTGGACAGTCTGGAGTCGATCAATAGATTTTTGGGTTAAACAGGTGAAAAGGCTGTTGCAATAATCCAGGCGTGATGAGATGAAGGCGTGTAAAATGGTCTCGGTGTCCATAAAAGTTAACATTGATCTAATTTTAGCTATATTTCTAAGTTGATAAAAACATGATTGAACAAGCTTTGTGGTGTGCTGCTTGAAATTTAAATTACTATCAAACCAAACACCAAGGTTCTTTGCCACAGGCTTAATGTGATTTACTAGGGAACCAGCAGATGGCAGTATTTGATTTGCCATCTGCTGAGACCCGATGACCAGGATTTCTGTTTTGTCTGAGTTCAACAGATTTGGAGGCGAGAGTTTAAGAAAGTCTGTTATCATTGGAGGTAAATCTAAGTCCATTATTTTATCCTTAAATCTAGCCTGAATTATGGATTTAAACTGTTGAAATTTCAGAAATCTATTATGGCTAATTCCATAGCGCAAAACTAATACCTCTCTACTCATACCCTGTAGGAAAGCAGGAAATGTGTTTGTATGGGAATAATCTGGAAAATAATCACCTGTACACTCATTTCGGGTTGACGTATCTCCACTTACTCAGAGCTACCAGAGCTTCATGATGATAAACTTTAGTCCAGTCAAAGCTCTGAGGAAATGCGGATGGAAAACAAACATTCCAAAAGTGCACAAAAATGATATAGACCTAGAGAAAACTTAAATGTTGCTGCCTTCATTTTTTCTTGGACAAAAATAATTTGTTATTCGTTGCTCTTTGTTTCTAATGTGGGATCATTTTCTACTCTGTGTTACAGTACTTTCTGCAGTTATGAATAAATATTTAAAAGTGTTTCTTTGATTATATAAAATAAGAAGCTGCTCTTTTAGTGTGTTTATCCTAATAGACTACATGTTTTCTAAAAGAACTTTAAACATACCCTATCAGAGCTAATGATAATACTAGTACATTATAGCATATGTACATTTTACAATATATAAAACGTAATTTCCCAACAACAGAAATGTGGCTAGTGAAAATGCTGTGTGACTGACAGTTTCGGGAGCCACAGGTGCTGTTTGACCTGAAAGCAGAAATGTTCCCTAGGATCTCAGCCAAGGAATTAATTGACCTTAGTGAGCTGTCATTGGCCGGGCCCACCTAAAGGACCAAATGTAGCAAAAGGTCCCAAAGGAGTTTAGAGGAGTTTTCCTGTGAAATGTACATGTCAGTTGCTCACCTGTCTCAACAGTTATTCCTGTTGGATTTATGGTGGCATATGAACATGTAGCTGAGTTGCTCAATTGTTCTGTGGTGAGGCAGTGCAGGAAATGGTGCACATAGATGGGATCTTGTTTGCACAATCTTGGACTGTATGCACCAAAGAAAAACAAATAAAACCTTCCTGCCTGTCTTCATGTTACTCAGATCTGCAGTATTGGCAGTTTCAGATTGTTACAGTTATATTTTTCAGTACAATTTCCTTCAGCAAACCTGCTCCAACTTGAAGCTTTCTGTTACGTAAGCACATTTTTTGTTTTAACCACACAGGTAGAGGAGATGTAAAAGATATGAACTTTGTCATTGTTTCCCATGAAAGGAGAATTAACTTTGGGATGGGTTTTAATGTAGAAAACACGTGGTTACTACAAAGGGTGGGCCAATCAAAAGTATTATAATTGTTCCGAATGGCCAGACTAGACTGCTCTGCTTTGAAATTATGAGCTCGTCGCTCTTCAGTCTCACTATTGAACCAAATCCGTTCTTTTAAGGCCATGCTCCAAGTCCTTAAAGAGGCTAAATATGTTTTTTTTAATCAGTTATATTATCTATTTGTGAATGAGTTGTAAACTCACAAAAATGAACGTCACTTGGAACAGTCACAATGCTGCACCCAGTGTGAAGGCACCTTTTGACATAATTAACTTTTTTATGAAAGAAGCATGTAAGGACAAATGTGTTCAAGGAGATCATTTAGATTCTGTCAAAATGTGCTGCTTTCATGATAGGCCTTTACAATCCCATTTGCATAGTAAATGGAAATAGCGCCTTTCTAGTCTTCCAACCACTCAGAGCACTTTTACACAAAGTCACTTTCACACACAATCATACACCGATGGAACAGCCATCGGGGGGAATTCGAGGTTCAATAGCTTGACCAAGAACACTTCTAACAAGGGATGGGAGACGCTACTCAATACGTTTAAGATATCGACTGAAACAGCCCAGTATCACAGCAAGCTTGGATCGATCGCTCCGTTCTATTACATCAATTAATAAAGCTTTAATAATAAAGTGGCGTAGCAGCAATCAACTGATTTTTGGGGTGGGGATGGAGCACTGGATAAGACGCATGCCTTTGGTGAGAGAGAACTGGGTACAACTCCCCACTGTGACACACCAATGTGTCCCTGAGCAAGACACTTAACCCCTAGATGCTCCAGGGGCGTGCGACCTCTGACATAAATAGCAATTGTAAATCACTATGGATAAAAGCGTCTGCTAAATGAAAAAATGTAAATGTAATTTTATTGACGGAGTCTCCGGCTGCAGCTGCGGCTGCTTCAGGTGTAGCTGGTTTGATCAGTTGGATGTGCAGCCTTTCTTTTACGCTATTTGTGATTCTTTAGTGTGGTTTAGTTACTTGTTTAAACAGACTCCTGACTTGTTTTATACTTGTGGCTGTTGTTTTGGAGGTTTGTGACTCACCACTGAAGGAAAAGCACTCACAGAGATGTTCTCAGTTTATTGATCAAAGGTTAACAAAAGTCTCTGTTTCAACACATGTATCAAAATGTTTTCCTGAATTTGTTTCCCACAACTCATTTGGTCACTAAACTATTTCACTCCTCTCTCTATGAAATCGTTAAAACAAAAGAATCCTTCTGAGTTGTCAGTTTTCCTCACATTAAAAGAGAAGACAAACAGTGGTTTAATCAACATTCTGATGCAATCCTTTGGCCTAAAATCCAGCAGTTTACATTTTGAGAAAGACAGTGATCACTGAAATACCTTTGGTAAGAAATATCAGCTTTCTTGTAACTTTTCAAACTCTAAAGTTTATGATATGAACCAATGAAATAACTAGTATTTACCTTGTTTACTTGTGACTGAATTAAAAGAGTATGAATTCTAAACATTTTTAATTGACTTTCTTCTCCTGTACCTAAAATCTTATTAAATGAATTAGCGAAATCTTCTTGTGGTTGTGCTGTAATCTGTTTACATTCCAGCAGCAGAGCTGCAGGTGGCTGGATACTCCCACAAACCTGGAAGTATAAAAGTAGAGGAACCACTCACTCGATGCTTTTATCAAACGAGCAGTTCATCTTTGGAACTTCTTGGCTTCATCGAGAGGTAAGAGAGGCTGAATTCTGTAAGTAATCATGATGTGGTGATGGTGAAGTGGCATGCCTTGTGAAGACACATGCCTTTGGTGTGGGAGACCAATGTGTCCCTGAGCCAGACACTTAAGTCCTAGCATCTCCAGAGGCGTGCAACCCCTATTTGGATAAAAAGCATCAGCTAAATGACTAATTATTTCATCATGATTCAACTGTAATTATGGAAGCCTTTAGAGGACTAGATTAAAATGATCACGTAAACATGAAAATGACAAAATCTGGCAGCACTAATTAATAACCAATTAAAACATAAACCTATCACGAGGATAAAAACTAAATATTGTTATATGGCAAATGATTTGAAATCTGCTCTGCCTTTAGTGATTTTTACAATGATCTTTATAGGTGAGAGCACTTACATTCTTCTCATTATGAGGGGAGTATGGAAAAGTTCCTGGAAGGTCTGACACTACCACAGCTAACAACCGAAGAAATAGATTATTTGGACATGGAAATTAGTGATGAAAAAATTATGGATGTCATAGATTCATTGTCAGGTAGAAAGGCAAGTGGCCCAGATGGATTGCCAGTGGAGATATATAAAAGGTTTAAGTGCATAATTGCCCCCCCCCCCCCCCACCTCCCACTGAATAAAATGTTTAAACACTCTTTGATGGTTAAAAGTCTTCCTCCTACTCTACAATGAGTTACAATAACAATTATTCCAAAGGAAGACAAGGATCCAGCCTCATATCGACATATATCAAATCAAAACACAGATTCAAAATTATTGGCAAAATTGTTAGCTCAAAGACAACCAACTTATTCCTAGACATATCTCTCCTGATCAAACAGGTTTTATCCCCAAGATGTATGCATACTGGAATATTAGACGATTATTGGGAGTGATATATATAATAATATATTAAAAATAAGGCTAGTGATGCACATATAGTGAGCTTGGATGCGGATGGAGGTATCTTTTTAAGGTTTTACTCAGTTGGTCAAGTTGCTCTATACAGATACAAAATCAGCTGTTCAGTGAATGGGATACTGTCACCGGTCTTTTCTATAAACAGAGGTCACCACTTTTGTTTGCTCTTGTTATTGAAACCATGGCTGAAGCTATTAGATGTAATGAGAAATTTAGTGGTATTAAAGCAAAGCAGGCTGAGCATAAAATTGTCTTGTATGCTGACGTTCTGTTGTTCCTAACTAATTCTAGTACTTCTCTACCAGAACTTATTGAGGTAGTTAACAGATTTAACAGTTTTTCAGGATATAAGATTAATTCTGGGAAATCAGTCGCACTGCCGATGGGTAGATTAAGACAGGATAAACTAAATATTCCATTCAAGATAGACAGAGATGGGCTGAAATATCTTGGTATCTTTAACCCATATGACCTGAATCAGTTAATAAAATATAATATAGTACCTATGATAAAAAGATTAAGAATGATTTACAAAGATGGTCTGTGCTTAAGTTCAACATGATTGGTAGGATTGCATTGATTAAAATTTATATTTTACCAAGATTACTGTATCCTATCCTAATGTTTCCATCAGATATTCCAACAAAATATTTTATAGATTTGCATAGATTTCTATGGAAAATTCATATGGGACACTAAAAGATCCAGATTTAAGTTGGGAAAACTGCACTCTCGGTATCTAAAGGAGGCCTCTCTGTGCCCAATTTTAAGTTTTATCATTGGGCTGCTCAACTAAGACATATGTTGAACTGGAAAAAAGAGGATTCCGGAAGTGTGTACAGAGAATTAGTGATTACAGGGTGTGAATCAATATTACCATCTGACCTACCATTTATAGACAGAACTACCTTGCAACCTCTGATACAAGACAATTTTGTGCCTGTATATTGGGGAGACTAAACAACCACGACACAAACGCATGGCTCAACACAGAAGGGCCAACTCCTCAGGTCAAGACTCTGCAGTCTACTTACATCTGAAGGACAGAGGACACTCGTTTGAGGACCACCAGGTGCACATTTTAGACAGAGAAGATGGATGGTTTGAAAGAGGTGTCAAGGAAGTCATCTACACCAGGGTTGAGAAGCCGTCATTGAACAGGGGAGGGGGTCTACGCCACCACTTATCCCCCACTTACAATGCTGTCCTTTCATCACTTCCCAGGAAACTCAACAAACGTAACCTATTGGCCTCAGGTGAAGATACCAATGATGGTCGTTCAGTCTTGGCCACAGGTAGTCTTAACGACTGTAACGACTGTCGTCACAGCAACAAGTGACACTAACGAACCAGCGGTATCGATGACCCGGGCCAACGACCCCACTGAGGTTAAATAGCTGAGTTTCCCTGCCAGTCAGTCAGAACTGAAGAAGTCCTTTGGATGAGGGACGAAACGTCTTCCAGTAGCTTCAACCAAGTCCAGTTGCCCTTGACTTTAACCTTCGTTGGATAATTTGTAAACTTGTACACTTGATTATGCAACAGAAATAATAAAAATAATTATTTCACTTCTCTCTCTATGAATATAGAGAGAGGAGTATATAATTTTAAATCTTTGTTTTTGTCGAGGGAGTCTTGGTTACTTTCAACGGAGCACTGCTTCTGGTTTAACAAAAAGGATGTTTTTTATAAATTTTATAAAAGGTCAATCCCTGTAGAGATCCTTTGCATAATTTTGTCAGACACCTAAAAGAACCATCTGAGCCTGCCAGTGCAGGAGAAATACCTTGGATTATGTTGCAGCCATGTTTCGCTGCTGCACACTCACTCAGTACTGGGCGTTGTCTTAATATGTCATGTAGAAATCCAAAAACATGGTTCACATAAGAATCCATGTATCATTCGTTCTTTGATCATTCCGTTTAAAAATCTAATAGGAAAAAAACGTTTTTTTGTTTTTCTGTGTCTTCACATTTGTGTAGCATCTTGAACTTGAACCGATGGAGGAGCCTGATTTAATGCTGTCCACTCTTCCTGGGGCTCAGTGTTGTCAGTTATATAACGCATGTTGACAGTGCAGTCTGAGTTAGATCACGTCACTGCTGAAAGAAGTCTTTAAACTTGGGTAGTGTTGTACAGGGCTGTAATGTAGTGATCTATACTGACTTGAGAAGCAAGCCTTGATGTTGGGGTATTTTCAGATCTGTCCAAAAGACGACCATTGACACCTTGCACAAGGAGGGCAAGACACAAAAGTTCACAGAGCTCTGTGTCCAAGCACATTAATAGAGAGGCCAAGGGAAGGAAAAGATGTGGTAGAAAAAAGTGGACAAGCAATATTGCTTGAAGTCCAGTGTAAAGTTTCCTCAGTCAGTGATGGTTTGGGGTGCCATGTCATCTGCTGGTGTTGGTCCACTGTGTTTTCTGAGGTCCAAGGTCAACGCAGCCGTCTACCAGGAAGTTTTAGAGCACTTCGTGCTTCCTGCTGCTGACCAACTTTATGAGATACAGATTTCATTTTCCAACAGGACTTGGCACCTGCACACAGTGCCAAAGCTACCAGTACCTGGTTTAAGGACCATGGTATCCCTGTTCTTAATTGGCCAGCAAACTGGCCTGACCTTAACCCTATAGAAAATCTATGGGGTACGCCAGACCAAACAATGCAGAAGAGCTGAAGGCCACTATCAGAGCAACCTGGGCTCTCATAACACCTGAGCAGTGCCACAGACTGATGGACTCCATGCCACGCCGCATTGCTGCAGTAATTCAGGCAAAAGGAGCCCCAACTAAGTATTGAGTGCTGTACATGCTCATACTTTTCATATTCATACTTTTCAGTTGGCCAACATTTCTAAAAATCCTTTTTTTGTAGTGTTCCTAAGTAATATTCTAATTTTTGGAGATCATTAGTAGAAAAAGAAGCATCAGCAACTGTGTTTTCAAAAAGTAAAAGTAAAAGACATAACATTCATAATAATGTGCATTTACACTTCCTCAAGTTCAGTCCGACACAAATAAAATATACAGTTCATTAGTTCACTGAAACACAGAAAAAGTTCTCCGTCCATCAAAAATAGAAAGCCATTGTAGTAAATGTTCAGTTCCTTAAAAAAAAGGAAAAAAAGAACTATAAGCCACAGTCTTCACAGAGGAAAAACTCTGGGACTAACGGTGTGGAGATTGGTTACCTTGTTTTAGTGCTTAGAACGGCATGCATACACAGACACACAGCCAGTCAGTCAGTCGGACAGTATACTGTTGATCACAACAGGAGGTTAACGTGCTTGTGATCACGCAGCAGCTCCTTTAACCGACTTTATGCATTCTACCGCTGTGGGCGGTCTACAACGACACGATGCAAGTCCGTCCGTAGATACTGATTATCCGCTATCAGCCACAGCCGCCATGGTCCAGAGGCCATCGCACACACACTGGTCGGGAAAAGCTCTTTTCATGCCTCATTCCAACGCATCTCCGCTGCCGGAAATGAGACTTGTGTTCTTGTTGAGAACGTTCTTGTAAGTCGTTCTTGGAAGAATGAACTTGCAATGTCACGAGCACACAAAACGCTGCTGACGGTTTGAGACAATGAGCTCTTGCTGGTATTGCACAATACCCCAAGCACAGAGGCCGACTGCAAATACTGTGACCACAACTCTGCTGTACACCATAATGTAATGTCTAATATATTACATTTATATTTATTCATTTACCTGATGCTTTTATCCAAAGCAACTTACAATTGCTATATATGTCAGAGGTCGCACGCCTCTGGAGCAACTAGGGGCAACTAACAGTGGGGGATTCAACCCTGGTCTCTCACACCAAAGGCAGGTGTGTGTTATCCATGCCGCCATCACCACCCCATATTAATAATATTAATAATAATAAATATAGCCACAAGCAGCGATTTGCGGGTTCATATCTTTTTTCGCAATATCGCCCTTAAATGAATTTCACACATATGGTGCAATATTGTTACGAAACAATGGCTCTGGAAATGACCACAAATGAGCAACCGGAGGACCAATCATCACAAAACTCACAGGATATGTTCAGATAGGTGCCTCGGATATACCTGAACAGTTGTACGTACATTACTAGGGGGCGCTACAAGCGCAAGAAAGGTGCTTAGCATCACACAAATTACACTATAAATCCCATATTCATTCTCCAATCATCACAAATCTCCCAGGATATGTCCTCATAAGTAACTGAAACATGACCTGAAAGTTTCATTTAAATTGAACACCCAAGGGCGCTATAAATGCAAACAAACTGCAGTGGATTAAACGCAAAACAGGCTACAAAATACAAATTGTTTGTCCAATCAATACAAAACTTCCAGGATATGTCTAGATAAGCACCTCACACATACCCTGAAAGTCTCATTCAAATCAAAAACTAAGGGGCGCTATAAATGAATTGTAACTGGATGTGAAACGATACAAATGAAGTTATAGATCAGAAAATGGTTGTCCAGTTGTTACAAAACTTGCAGGATGTATTTTATGACAATGTTGAACCGTATATGTGAAATTATTTTGATGGCGATATTAGGTATATATATATAAGGTATGAACCCGCAAATCACTGCTTGCAGCTATATTTATTATTATTATTCTCTCCCACTTTTTTTTTCTTCATTTCAGAGTGAAAATTATGGATTATGAAGTGACCGTACACACTGGCGATCTCTTTGGCGCCACTACTTTCAACGATGTCTACATTAATCTGGTGGGAACGGATGGAAGGAGCAAACGCAGTTTGCTCAAGAGTGCTATATCCTTCTTCAGAGGAACAGTGAGTCTGAATTATCCCTCTGTATGTTTAAATGTAAAACACACTTCATCAACTTGGCTCAATTTAGAGAAGCTGAATTTAACCCTCACCAGCTCAGACTCATAGCTCTGTGATCTATGGCCACAAAGGTGACGAAAAAAAACGTAATGAGCTTCAAATCTTTAGACTTTAATGCAGTGCCCATATGTTGCACTAGTTTTATTTTGTTTGCTCTTCTTCAGTAATTGGATGCTAATAAGTGGGGGGCAGCAGCTCAGTTCTTCACATTCTCGTCATATCTTGTATAAATGTTTTCCAAACATTTCTTTTCTTACTCCAGGTGCATCATTTTACCGTGTCCTGCCCAAAATCCCTGGGAAAGCTGGTCCTGATAGAGCTACAGAAAGAGCGTCAATCAGTGTTCCCTCAAGACTCCTGGTTCCCTGCCAAGGTGGAAGTGAAATCCCCTGAGGGAAAGACTTACCACATTCCCATCTACCGCTGGATCACTGACAGTAAGGTGCACCGCTTCAGAGAAGGAACAGGTTTGTGCTTTTCACTGACATCAGAAGACATAAAAGAAAAATAACTCCTGGAGTAAATTCATGCCAGCAGATATCAACAAGTTCAAACCTTACTGTGGTTCTTTCTTGAAGCTCTGACAGACTTGGAAGACATCAGTCCGCTTGGCAAGAGCAGTCGGCAGCAGGAGCTGGATCAGCGAGACCAACAATATCGGTGAGAACTACACATTTTAACTTTATGCACCCCAAAACCAACATGGACTTAAACCTGCTCCACATTTGGTATTATAACATATGTTGGAATACATGAGTACATGTCAAGTGTATTATGCTTGCAAAACTGCAGATACTTGTGTATATAGACAGTCCAAAGTTCCTCAACACTCTGCTCTTCCATGTTATTCCTAGCTGGGATGTGTATGTAGAGGGGCTACCTCACTGCATAAAGGCAAAAGACCCCTCTTCTCTGCCCTTGGAGGTCCAGTTCTCCTTCACCAAAAATGCAGAGTTCATCTACAATGGAGCCACAGGGTGAAGTCAGATATCTTTATAACTATGTACCTGCGTACCTACCTGCCTATTAAAGAGATAACGATAAAGTCAGTACTTGCTTTATTTTCTAGGCTGAGTAAGCTGCAACTTAAGGTGCTGGTCGATTGCATTGACAACTGGAATAGTATTCAAGACATCCATCGGGTGTTCTGCTTAAAACAGACCGACATATCAGGTACTGTACTGTCATGGTGGTTTAATAGTATACATTCAACTGTGACTATTCAGATATTTAACTGTATTTCATTACCTAAATATTATTAAATGGTTTTTAGGCCTGAGATAAGTGATTAGATTGTACTGAATACTTCATAGTTGTGAAGGATTCTTGGGTACTATGAAACAGGTTTCCTGAAGTCATGATAGGGTCAATAGCTGAGCTAAGGTCAGCCGAAGGTGACAGCCACGGACTCCCAAAAACTCTAGGTCAGCGACAGAAGGAACTGTGTACATACAGCTGCAGGAAAAAGTATGTGAACCCTTTGGAATGACCTGGATTTTTTCTCTGGAAAATATGACCTGAACTTCATCTAAAACACAACAATGGACATACACAGTCTACTTTAACCAATACCTTACAGACAACTGATGAGATTGGAGGTGTTGGTTAGAGCAATGAAGCATTGCCTCGACCAAAAGAGCTCTCTGAAGACCTCATATCAAGAGTTGTTGACTTGCATGAAGCTGGAAATGGTTAGAGAAGTATCTCTGAAAGTCCATGGTGGCACAAACTTTATGAGTGGAGAACGTTCAGCACTGTTGCTGCCCTCCCTAGGAGAAGATATAAAAGCCCGACCATTTGATTGGCCGGCCGATACGATCGCCCGTTATGCGCTAATTGCATTTAAATGGGTGTAACAGCGGAGTCTTTAGTGTTGTGGTGTTGTGTCTCATCCACTCGTTGCTAGGTTTCGGGTGTGTGGTGATTGCTGACAGAACCTGTGCACATTCAGCTGCAGAATCATTGTGCCGGCTGGCGGCAGTTTTCCTTTAGCTTTTGACATTTTACGGAGTAATGACTCCTGTGATTTTGTTTGCCTTTGTTCTAATAATAAAACACAACGTTAATTTTTCATCAGGTGTCTCCCATCCTTACTTTTGTGACTTAACATCAGTGCTTACTCCCTAATCCCCTACTGGGATGTAACAATGGGTATCAGTGTTTATAACAGGCAATTAATTAAGATTAAAAAAGAAACAGAGAGGCGGATCTTCACTCATGAAACAAAACAATCAAAACAATCAGTTGACCGGAGTCTACCGGAGCATGTAAAAACAAAACAACCCCCAACTGGACGAGAGTATAATCACGCTGAGTTGGTCATTTGTAATGTTATATTCATGAATTAAATAATAAGAAAAACAGACCCAGTTACTTCTCCTCTCCTGAAAACATCAGAATCAGAAAGAGCTTTACCAAGTAGTTTTTACACATACGAGGAATTTGCTTTGTGATGAGGTGCTACATGTAAACACACATACAGAAATATATAAATATGGATTAGACAATGCAAGTTATATAAGAATAATAAAAGACAAAAATAATACTATTTGCAGAGAAAGAACAATGTCGCAGATATTTACATGTAAATTATTGCCGGTGTCAGTGGGGCACCCGAGCCTTGTTAATAAGGCTGCAGACGGGAAGAAGCTGTTTTTGTGGCGAGAGGTTTTGGTCCTGATGGACCTGGAGGTGTACAGGTCCTGAAGAGAAGGAAGAGATTGTCCGATTGACTCTCAAAGCGGCAGTAGAACTAGTTCAGCTCATTTGCCAGGCGAGAATCGTTGATGGGTTTATAGTTTGTGATCTGTCTGAGCCCCCTCCAGACAGAAGTGGCATCGTTTGCAGAGAACTAGTGCTGTAGCCTCTTTGAGTGCAGTCGTTCATTCATGACTTGCTAATTCTCCCGTTTTTCATTACCTCCTCCCAGCTCAATGCAGTGTTTAATGTTACGGTAGTTGGGTGTTGAAAGCTACGCTACTGACAGAATTGATTGTAGATTTCTTTCTGAAACAGTGTGGCAGTTTTGGTGAACAGCCCTCTCATTTGTCCCTAGTTCATCACGTCTAAATATTATCGAACTTCACTTACAACAGCTGCACATTGCTTAATTAGCCACAAAGTTGGCTAATATCATGTTAAACAGCATCGTAATGCTAATGTTGTCATGAGCGGATAAACCATAGATTAACTTATTCTTAATCTGCGAGACGCATATCTGTAGTTACAGTCGTGTGTCAGAAATGATTAAACCAGAGGGGAGATAAAATAAATGTGAGCTGAACAAGTATCTAACACAGCTTTCTGCCAGACAAAGTGATCTAACTCCTCTTTCAAATGTGAAACGTCAGTGTGAAATCTGAAGTTGTAGACAGTCATGTAGTAATAGATGCAGGTCGCTCGATCATAGAGGCCATGATTTAGAGCCAAATGGTTTCTCATTGGTTTGGATATTATTACAGAGTGCAGGTTAAACTTGATGTGAATACGCTGCATAGAAAATAGTTACTGCCGATTATATGTAACAAAATACACATGTTTATTCTCTCTCACTCTTTATTTACAGATGGCTTCTAGCAGCATTTTGTAACATGAATCCATTCAGGGAAAAGTACACTGCTCAAAAAATGAAGGGAACACTAACACAACACATCCTAGATCTGAATGAATGAAATAATCTATCAACCCATGGAGGTCTGGATTTGGAGTCACACTCAAAATCAAAGTGGAAAACCAAACTACAGGCCGATCCAACTTTGATGTAATGTCCTTAAAACAAGTCAAACTGAGGCTCAGTAGTGTGTGTGGCCTCCACGTGCCTGTATGACCTCCCTACAACGCCTGGGCTCCTGATGAGGTGGCAGATGGTCTCCTGAGGGATCTCCTCCCAGACCTGGACTAAAGCATCCGCCAACTCTGTGGTGCAACGCGGCGTTGGTGGAAGGAGACATGATGTCCCAGATGTGCTCAATTGGATTCAGGTCTGGGGAACGGGCGGGCCGGTCCATAGCATCAATGCTGACACAATCCAGCCATATGAGGTCTAGCATTGTGTTGCATTAGGAGGAACCCAGGGCCAACCACACCAGCATATGGTCTCACAAGGGGTCTGAGGATCTCATCTCAGTACCTAATGGCAGTCAGGCTACCTCTGGCGAGCACATGGAGGGCTGTGCGGCCCCCCAAAGAAATGCCACCCCACACCATTACTGACCCACCGCCAAACCGGTCATGCTGGAGGATGTTGCGGGCAGCAGAACGTTCTCCACGTTTGTCACATGTGCTCAGTGTGAACCTGCTTTCATCTGTGAAGAGCACAGGGCGCCGGTGGCGATTTTACCAATTCAAAACGTCCTGCACGGTGTTGGGCTGTAAGCACAACCCCCACCTGTGGATGTCGGGCCCTCGTACCACCCTCATGGAGTCTGTTTCTGACCGTTTGAGCAGACACATGCACATCTGTGGCCTGCTGGAGGTCATTTTGCAGGGCTCTGGCAGTGCTCCTCCTGCTCCTCCTTGCACAAAGGCGGAGGTAGCGGTCCTGCTGCTGGGTTGTTGCCCTCCTACGGCCTCCTCCACGTCTCCTGATGTACTGGCCTGTCTCCTGGTTTTTTTGAGCAGTGTATTATAGGCCACATACAGAACAGCTTTCAATATCGGCTAAGTGTGTTTTTTACAGGAAAGGGCTCTAATATCCAAATCATTTTCATCATCAAAATATTAAATTATAAATTGTCTCTGTTTCACTTTAATATCAGCTTCAGCTTTGCCCACCAAAAACCCATATTGGTCTGGCTCTAGAAAACAGAATTGTTTGTGTGGTATTAGTTTAAGCAGACTGTGTTTGTCTGTTGTTGTGACTTAGATGAAGATCAGATCACATTTTATGACAGAAATCCAGATACTGTACTTAATTTGTCAAGGTAAGCTAACAGCAATAGAGAAAGATGTTCTAGTCCAATGTTTGGAACTCAAAGAAGTTAATCTCTTTCTTATTTTTCCAGTCTATGTCAAGGAACACTGGAAGGAGGATGCTTTTTTTGGCTACCAGTTTCTGAATGGCGTCAACCCTATGATGATCAAACGTTGTACAACTCTGCCCGATAACTTTCCTGTCACTGATGGCATGGTCTTTCTCAGTGGTCAGGGTAAACTGGAAGATGAAATGAAGGTAACTTCTGGTAATTAAATGACAAATAGTACATGAAATATCCACACTGTATTATGATGACTGAGGGTCAAAACACAAGAATATTTCACAAAACACAATAATGTTTGAGTTCATGGAAAAGGTGGGCCAACATTTCTTGTTTGAGATTTGACTGAAGTCCCTGGTAACAGTTCAGTGTCATTTCCTGTTTCTATTGTGCACTATTCTCAACAGTGACCTTGCACAAATGTTAAACTGAGTTTGAGAGGATGGAGGAGGCGACTGAAATAATAAGGGATCATTTCAGTTATAGTAACATTCCCACCCTGAAAACATCTAGATTCATATATCAACTCACTATTAGTGAGTCGCTCCTACGACGGTTACATCACTGCCTCGCCCCTTGCTGACCTTAGCATGTTCTTATTAACCCTAGACTCACCTTCCCAGTGGGCATCTGTCCAGCCACAGTCACCTCTGGCACACTTTTTATATTTCAATATAGTAAAAAGATTACATCCTGACTTACATTTAGCATGCAGTTATATGTTTGTCCAATAATAAAACATACTGATTACTTAGAATATGCAAAATATGTTGTCATTAACTTTTGGCCCATTTGTACATAATTTTATTAGAAACTGATTTATTACACAATTAAGTCTTAAGTTTTGTTTCTACAGTTTCACAAAGACGTACCTTTGCTATAGCCACGGACACGTTATGTCTGTTTGATCCAGATTAAAGCTGTAGACTAAAATAAACTGGGCGACACAGCTTTAAGATGCTGTGCTGTAATCCTAACCCTGGAAGTTGTTGTAACTTCGGTGTACATGGTCTAATCTGTTCCAAACTTTACATAATTGAAGTCCCTCCCTGAACACATCTACAAGCCAATATTCACTCAGTCATAGCGCCACCTGTTGGCAACAGGAAGTGACTATCGTTGCACTCTGATGTACTGCTCTGACAGGTTGGCCATATCCACTTTCAAACTTTCTTGCACATACTCAAATCTGTACCAATCTTAAATCATCACATGAAATTTTATTGGTTTGTTACAGACTTCATGTAAAGCTTAATTAGCAGGTGTTCTCTAGCACCACATGGGGCACAGGAAGTGATGTTTAACGTGCAGCATCCAAAGTGTGACAATTCAGAGCTAATCTGAGAGGTGGCTTCTGCAGTGCGGCCACGGCACATCCCGCAGCACATCATATAAACACCACCAAAGAAGACACAGCATTGAAGAAGCGAGAGCAGGACTTGTCAAGGTGCAGATTTTTCAATAAAGTCAAAAGTTTAACAGATGCCCAGAGCATCACTAGCTGCCTGACAGCGAAACAACCACTTTACAGCAATGTAGCACTTAGAGGGTCCCCTAGGCTGTGATGGCAAATCAAGTTTTCAAATCAACAGCTCAGGCGAACACTCATCTTTCTGTGAATTTTATTCAAGTCTTCTGCTGAAGGACTCAGTGGGACACACAGGCATCAGAGTATCATCCGAGTGAGCTGCAGTGTCTCAGCACATGCAGCTTTTATCCTGATCTCAGGGTCAGAGCAATATCTCACCACGGGAACATGATGTCTTTAAGAGGACCTCTGGAGAACACTCAATCTAAACCTATCGCAAGGACAATCATGTCCTGGTACAGCCAGGTACATGTTGTGAAACAATAAAAGACATGATGGCCACATCTTAACACATCACACATATTTAGCTCCCTTTAACTTTAGTGAAGGCAGGAATCTTTGTTCGTTTGTGTTTCCATTATGTCAAAGACCTTCACTCAGACATGTTGCTGTGGACCTACGGATCGCCCACTGACTAGAATGGCCATGATTGGTTCCAGCTGCTGTGTCCTGTGGAAGGTGTTGTGTTTTGTGAAATGTCATTGTGGTTTTTAATAACGTTAATGTATTTTGTGAAACGTTGATGTTTTTTGACCCTCACAGCCACCATACTGTACACATGTGAGTCAAATAATTTCTCACCCTCACTGAAATTTCAAACAGAGAGGCAACATCTTCCTGTGTGACTACAAGTGTTTGGAAGGTGTAAAAGCAAACATCGTGAATGGGAAGCCGCAGTACTTGATGGCTCCGCTGGTCCTTTTACACAAGACGCCTGATGATAAGATGATGCCAATCGCTATTCAGGTGAGATTAGAACTAGCTGATAGTAAACCTGTAAACTAGAGTAATAAGATGACTATAACACTAACACTATTTTTCTGAACTCATTACTACACATAAACACAATCCCAGGTTTCTGTTTAAGACTGTGGATCAGCTGGTAAACCCAACCCCTCCTTGTGCCTCAGCTGGAAGTAATGATGACTGTGAATTGTTTTTATCTTATTTTACCAATAAGGTGGTGTCAATCAGAGCCTCTATTACCCCCGTGGCCTCTTACTCAGAGGTTCCTCACCAGCAACAAGAGAGTTTTAACCAGTTTTATCCCATCGACTTGTCTGAGCTTTTAAAAACAGTATCACAAATGAGAGTGTCCTCCAGCCCACTTGATATAATACCTACAAAATTTTTACTGAAAATAATGGATTCTGTTGGGCCCCATTTGATCTCTGTTTTCAACAGCTCCCTATCTACTGGTTGTGTCCCTGATTATTTTAAAACGGCTTGCGTGAACCCACTTTTAAAGAAACCTGGTTTAGATCCCTCCCTCCCACATAATTTTAGACCAATTTCAAAACTGCCTTTTATTGCAAAGATTCTAGAAAGAATTGTGTCCAAACAGCTGCTCACTGTACTGGAAAATAACAAAATATTTGAAAAGTTTCAGTCTGGTTTTAGGAAGTACCACAGCACTGAGACTGCCCTGCTTAAAGTCACCAATGACCTTTTAATGTCTGCTGATGGAGGCATGTGCTCAGTCCTGGTACTCCTGGACCTTAGTGCTGCTTTTGACACCATTGATCACAACATCATGTTAGACAGACTGAGGCACTGGGTGGGGATCTCTGGTACTGCCCTAGAATGGTTTTCATCCTACCTGTCAAATAGGAAGTTTTGCGTGTCTGTAAACAACTATGTCTCCTCATTCTGTCCAGTTAAATATGGTGTGCCTCAGGGGTCGGTCTTAGGACCCATTTTGTTTTCTTTGTATCTGCTTCCCCTTGGACATATTATCCATAAACATGGCATTTCTTTTCATATTTATGCTGATGACACACAAATGTACTTGCCCGTCAGATCCACAGACCCTGGAATGCTGAGTTCACTTAACAACTGCCTTTGTGAAGTTAAAAAATGGATGTCAAATAATTTCCTCCAGCTGAACTCAGACAAAACAGAAATCCTGGTCATTGGGTCTCAGCAGATGGCAAATCAAATACTGCCATCTGCTGGTTCCCTAGTAAATCACATTAAGCCTGTGGCAAAGAACCTTGGTGTTTGGTTTGATAGTAATTTAAATTTCGAGAAGCACACCACAAAGCTTGTTCAATCATGTTTTTATCAACTTAGAAATATAGCAAAAATTCCATCTATGTTAACTTTTAAGGACACCGAGACCATTTTACACGCCTTCATCTCATCACGCCTGGATTATTGCAACAGCCTTTTCACCTGTTTAACCCAAAAATCTATTGATCGACTCCAGACTGTCCAGAACTCAGCTGCCAGGCTTTTAACCAGAACAAAGAAATATGACCACATTACTCCTATTTTAGCTTCATTACACTGGCTCCCAGTATGTTTTAGAATTGACTTTAAAATTCTATTGATCACTTTTAAAGCTCTTCATGGCCTCTCGCCTTGTTATATTTCTGACCTTTTAGTCCCATACACACCAGCACGTACCTTGAGATCCTCGGGCAGAGGTCTGTTGTCTGTTCCAGAGTCTCGACTGAAAACTAAAGGGGACAAAGCGTTTGCTGTCAGGGCCCCGAGGCTCTGGAACAGCCTGCCCGAGGAAATCAGGTCGGCTGAGTCAGTGAACTCTTTTAAGTCCCTTCTTAAAACATACTTTTATAGGAGAGCCTTTCCCGATCTTATTTGATTTATTTTATCCCTTTTATTTTACTGTATTTTACTAATTTCATATAAATTTTTCTTGCTCTTATCTTGTTTTTTTGTATTATTCTTACACTTGTTAAAGCACTTTGTAACTTGTTTTTGAAAAGTGCTCTACAAATTAGGATTATTATTATATTATTATTATCATTCAAACCACAAAATATTGATTTCCCAGAATTCTCTCCGCTGGGATTACACTGTATCTCCTCCTCCTGTGGAGATCTGTAAAAAAAAATATCCACAAATATCTCACTACCCAAACATTTGTCTTGTGTGTCTTGCTATATGCAAATATGTACAATTCACTCTGTAAACACATATTTTAATTTCACATACAAAGTGTTATTTACACATTTGTGGATCTATATTTACACACAAAACAGTTTTGCACATTTGGGGATGATTTTCTGTCTATTTGCAGGTCATGGTACATTTGTGACTTCCTTTTTACACATTTGTGGAATTTTGTCCACTCTGTACCACAGATCTGTAGATGTGAGAGCAGTTTATTAGCTACACCAGCAGGTGGCAGTAGCGACATTGCCTCTCAAGAGTCTTATATCCATTGCAGTACCCAGGGTCATCTGTAGGACACAACAACTTCTGACTGTTTCTGACCATGTCCATCCCTTTATGGCCACCATGTACCCATCCTCTGATGGCTACTTCCAGCAGGATAATGCACCATGTCACAAAGCTCGACTCATTTCAAATTGGTTTCTTGAACATGACAATGAGTTCACTGTACTAAAATGGCCTCCACAGTCACCAGATCTCAACCCAATAGAGCATCTTTGGGATGTGGTGGAACGGGAGCTTCGTGCCCTGGATGTGCATCCCACAAATCTCCATCAACTGCAAGATGCTATCCTATCAATATGTGCCAACATTTCTAAAGAATGCTTTCAGCACCTTGTTGAATCAATGCCACGTAGAATCAAGGCAGTTCTGAAGGCCAAAGGGGGTCAAACACAGTATTAGTATGGTGTTCCTAATAATCCTTTAGATGAGTGTATATATCAATGAATTAGCAAACCAATTAGAGAGAATGTGTCGTTCAGGCCTCCTCCTGAACGACACAGAGATCAGAGGTCTGCTGTATGCAGATGACTTAGTGTTGCTCTCACATACTAAAGAAGGTTTGCAGCCGCACCTTAAACTCCTGCAGAGATTCTGTCAGACCTGGGCCCTGACAGTAAACACAGCAAAGATTAAGATAATGATCTTCCAGAAACAATTCAGAATTCAGGTTACACACAATTTCTATTTAGACACCACTAAATTACAACATACAAAAATCTACACTTACCTTGGCCTCAACATTACATACACAGGGAACTTCAACATGGCTGTGAAAGATCTGAGGGACAAAGCAAGGAGAGCTTTCTATGCAATAAAATGAAACATTAAAATTTATATTCCAATTGAAATCTAGCTTAAAATTTTCCAATTTGTACTAGAACCAACAATTCTATTTGGTAGCGGGGGCCAAAACTTAATAATGAATTTGACAAATGGGACAAAACAATCATAGAATCTTTCCATAACAAGTTCTGTAAGAGCATCCTGCAGGTGTGGAAAAAAGACACCAAAGAACCTATGCAGAGCAGAGCTCAGCCAAAACCCCCTCTCACTAAAAATACAGAAAAGATCACTTAAATTTTACAATCACTTAAAACCAGTTAACCCCCAGACATATTATCACAAAGCCCTAACATACCAGGAGCTGAAACTAGAGAAGAGTCCCCTCAGCCTGCTGGTCCTGAGGCTCTCTGCAGTAACAAGTCCCCAACAGCCTCAGGACAGCAATACCAACTCAAGCAGACCAAACCAAATTATCAGCAAGCAGAAAGAAAAATATATTGAATACTGGAAAGATACAACCAAAACACAAAGTAAATTACAATGTTATCTGACCCTAAAAAGAGAATTCACACTGGCAAATTACCTGAGTACAATAAAATGTCCCAAACTAAGAAAAATGTTAACATACAGACTGAGTGAACACAGCCTGGTCATAGAAAAGGGTCGACACAGACAGAGCTGGCTACCACAAGAGGAGAGACTCTGCTCCCAGTGCGACAGGGGACAGGTAGAGACTCAGAGGACAGGTAGAGAGACAGAGCTGCACTTTCTAACGTCATGCCCTAAAGATAAAACACTAAGACAAAAACACTTTAACATTTCCGAAATATACCCCGAATTTCAATTCATATCAGACACACAGAAACTCCCCTATTTACTGGGAGAAATCCCCAAATGTGAAATAATTGCAGCAAAATATGTCTCCTCATGCCATGAAGTGAGGACAACCAGTGCAACCTCAGAGTGATAAATAATTGTACAAATTTTCAAATCATTATTTTGATTGTTTAATATTTTAGTAATTGTTTTGTTTTTATATTTGATACCGTTAAACATTTTCATTTATTTATAATTTTGTTAATTAACTAATTTTTAAAAATAATTTTGTCTATTAATATACACACACGTTACTGTTTCATTTATTTTATTTTAATTTTGAATATATTTTAAAAAAAATTAAACACACACTTTTATTTATTGATTTTAGTATCTTTTTATTTAGTTTTTCACACACACAAACGCTTACTGTTTTATTTATGTTTTAAAAAAATTATATTTATTTTTAACACACACACACACACACACTCATTTGTTTATTTTATTTTAATTTTTAATATAGTTTAATTTTTCTAACACACAAACACACATACGCTTTGATTACTTTACGCTTTAATTACTTGTTTAATGAAATGTATGAGGTTGATTGTTCTTATGTAGTTTGTATAATGTTTATGCAATATTGCTGTTTTACATTCATGCCAATAATGCTAATTTGAATTGAATTGAATTGACAAGTAATGGATTGCATGAACCCCTTCCCACTCCAATCTCCTGCAGCTGAAGCAGACTCCAGCAGTGGACAATCCCATCTTTACTCCTGCTGATTCTGAGTGCGACTGGTTGATGGCCAAGATTTTTGTGAGAAGTGCAGATTTCGCCGAGCATCAGCTCAACACTCACCTGCTGCGCACTCATCTGCTGGCTGAGGTTTTTGCCGTGTCACTGCTGCGCAACGTGCCCATGGTGCACCCACTGTACAAGGTAACCATGAGGGAGATTACTGAATTACTAAAAGTTTTTTCAACTTGCTGATTATTTCACTCTGCTTATATAAGCATTTAGATTTCAGACTTTTTTAACAATAGTGTTACTAACAGAGTTTTCTTTTTCCTTCAGCTCCTCATTCCTCACACTCGCTACACTCTTCAGATAAATATCATAGCTCGACTTAATCTAATATCTGAGCAAGGACTTTTAACACAGGTACAAATAAACCAACAGCCTCAGTCAACTATTACATCAACAATGTTTCTTTTTTCCATATCATGTACAATATTTTTTAATCTATTCCTCACGTATGAGAATGTTCCCTAGATTGCAGCTTGTGGTGGAGAGGGTATGATCACAATCCTGAAGAGAGGGCTGTCCTCATTGACCTACAGCTCGCTCTGTATACCAGACGACATTGCTGAGCGTGGGCTGGAGGCTGTGCCAAACTTCTACTACAGGGATGATGGACTCCAGCTTTGGGATATCATCCACAGGTATTTTAGGCAGTATCTATTTTCCACATTATGTTAATAGTTTATATTTAGAATACCCTAAAAATACCATAAAAATGGATGTTTTAGTCACATGAAGTTGCAATGCAAAACAATATAAAGACTTACTTGTTCAAGTTAGAATACATTTGGAGGACATGAAGTAAACCTTAAGAATAGCCCACAATTTTATTTGTTTCAATCACTGAACTCGCCCTGCCAATGTTTGAGACAGGCCTTCAATTTCAATTCAATTTTATTTATATAGCGCCAAATCACAACAACAGTTATCTCACAGCGCTTTTCATAAAAGAGCAGGTCTAGACCGTACTCTGTGATGTTATTTACAGAAGCCCAACAGTTCCCACCAAGAGCAGCACTAGGAGACAGAGGCAAGGAAAAACTTCCTTTTAAGAGGCAGAAACCTCGAGCAGAACCATGACTCAGGGTGGGCGGCCATCTGCCTCCACCGGTTGGGGTGAAGGAGAGAGAGGGAGAGAGAGAGAGAGGGAGAGAGAGAGGAACAGAGAAAAAGAGAGGGATGAGGGAGGCAGCCTACACAATATCCACACAGAGGTACAGACAGTGAAGGTGATGTTGCTATAGACTAAATGAAAAATGGTACAGATATTTATAGTAGTGTTAATGGTAACAATCGTAATGTTAATGATTATAATAACAATAGGACTAGTAACAATAGTCGTTGCAGCAGAGGGTGTCGAGCAGGAACACGGGGCAGCAGGTGACCCGCAACCACAGATCCAGACTCCACAGCTCCAGAGCCAGAAAACCTGCAGGAAGTGATAGTAGGAGAGAGGAGAGGGACGAGAAAGCACAAGACTACCAGAAAGGGGAGAAGTTGAGAGGAAAGTCTTAAGCCTACTCTTAAATGTGGAGATGGTGTCTGCCTCCTGAACCCAAACTGGAACCTGGTTCCACAGGAGAGGAGCTTGATAGCTGAACGCTCTGGCTCCTAGTCTACTTTTGGAGACTCTAGGAACCACAAGTAACCCTGCATTCTGGGAGCGCAGTGCTCTGGTGGGGTAGTAAGGTACTATGAGCTCTTTAAGATAAGATGGTGCCTGACCATTAAGAGCTTTGTAGGTAAGAAGAATGATTTTAAATTCTATTCTCGATTTTACTAGAAGCCAATGCAAAGAAGCTAAAACAGGAGAAATGTGATCTCTTTTCCTGGTTCCTGTCAGAACACATGCTGCAGCATTCTGGATCAGCTGAAGAGTCTTAATGGACTTTTTTCGAGCAGCCTGATAATAAGGAATTGCAGTAATCCAGCCTAGAAGTAACAAATGCATGGACTAGTTTTTCTGCATCATTTTTAGACAGGATGTTCCTGATTTTCGCAATATTACGTAGGTGAAAAAAGGCGGTCCTTTTTTTGCTTAATGTGAGACTTAAACAACATGTCCTGATCAAAGACCAATTTAGTCTATAGCAACATCACCTTTACTGTCTGTACCTCTGTGTGTATATTGTGTAGGCTGCCTCCCTCCCCTCTCTCTCTCCTTCCATCCCTCTATTTTTCTCTCTGTTCCTCTCCTGCCCTCTCTCTCTCTCTCCCTCTCTCTCTCTCTCCCTCTCTCTCCTTCACTCCAACCGGTCGAGGCAGATGGCCGCCCACCCTGAGCCTGTGAAAAGCCTGTGAGATAACTGTTGTTGTGATTTGGCGCTATATAAATAAAATTGAATTGAATTGATTGGCTAGTAGTCCTTAACTAGGTACTGAGCATGTGCAACTCCCAACAAAGATCATTTAGAGACAAGATGTATCACTCCATAGCTAAAACGAAGCCTTCAACACTGGGTGAAAAGAGGACCTGTAGCAATGTGCAGTATGACAAAAATATAACCATGGAAACTTGTTCTGGTACAACCTCTAACTAATTTTAGGAACCTGAAAATGAGGCCGGCTTCTCTGTAAAACATAGAACAGAAAGTTGTTTCCCCTCCAGTAGCTGACGTCCGTCCGCCTTCGTTCAGCAGCAGGTGCATCGTATGTCCGTGCTGGTAGAATATCCACCAGCTCCACATCTTCTAATGTAATACCAGATAAAGTCTCTCTCTGAGTTTCTCTGTCAAATGCTAAAATTTATTTAAACTAAGAGCAAGCTGTTGGCAAATATTTTCTATATACTACACATGTTTTGATCGATTGTTCATGCCTGCAAGTTAATTAGCCCAAGATGGAATGGTGCCATACCTGGTCGTTAGCCCCAAATGACTGTACTGCCATGTTCTGTCGTCTTAAACACTTTTAGGCCTCTGTCCTCTGGGAGTGACGTAACTGAGGGCCATTAGGTGCGTTCGAGATGACGGCGGCTGACTTTTGCCAACTTGATAGTCTAATGTGAGCTGCCGGTCACTGCGGGGGCGCCGAATAAAAATGGCACCATCAGGTCGGACACATTCTACCTGCAGCGGCTCACTGTGAGCTGAGATCAATGACTGATCTTGCGGCATTTGCAAAGAAAAATACCGCAAGACCAGGTAACAGTGTGGTTCCAACTTGGTGCAGTCAGGAAAAAGCAACTTCGGGTTGCTTTCTTTTTAAAAAGAACACTTTCTAAGACATCACCATTAAATTGTCTTTACAAAAGGGACCACAGCAGTGTGTATAAAAAATTATTCAACTAGGAATGTGTTTCATCTAATTGTTCCACATTTCTCAAAGGTTCGTGCAGGGAGTGCTCAGCTACTACTACAAAAATGACGATGACGTAAAGGATGACTCTGAGCTGCAGAAGTGGATTCTGGACATTTTTGAACACGGATTCCTTTCCCAAGCAGGCACAGGTGGGCTTCGAAGAACAGCTTTGTTTTAATGAGGATAAGTAGTGCTGTATTTGCACATTTCTATCATAGATTCAAGTTCATTTCTCAGAGACGTCATCAGGTAATGAAGTTTATTCTCTTAAATTTGTAGGGATTCCACGCAGTTTTACCACTGTGGCTGAGTTGGTCAAGTTTGTTACCATGGTGATCTTCACCGGCTCAGCACAGCACGCTGCCGTGAATTCTGGACAGGTGAATCCTTTTAATGCTATCTTATTTACATGTTCAGCTTCCTCTGAACTGGAGACAAATTATGAATGACACCTGACTGTGTGAGCCTTTAATATAAACTAGGATCTACAGCCATGATAGCAGGTCTGGGAAGAGATAAGCTGTACTTTAGCACAGGGGTGCCAAATGCCAACATGCTGACTTTTAGCAGGTATAATGTTCACTAAGATCGCAGTGTTAGTTTACCATGCAAGAATGTGCACAGTACAGTACAGCCAAGGCCGACATCTTCAGTTTTAGACCAAAGTATTGGACAAATAAACATGTTGAGGATGACAGCAGATGAAAGGTCAGTGCAACAAAGTTATTACAGTTCATCCTGAGGGGAACATGAATAGCAAATCCACCAATGTGAACCACATGGTGGTGCTACAGTAAAAGTCAGGATTCATCATCTAGGGACCATGAGTGTCTTTTGTTCCAATCATGGCAATACATCTAGTGGCTGTTGCACTATTTCAGTGACCAACAGGTTGACATGGCGTGGTTTTAATATACTTCACTGCAGTATGACTATGGTGGCTGGATGCCCAACACTCCCCCCACTCTGCAACGTCCTCCACCAGCCAAGGGGACGGCAAGCGAGGCCACCATGCTGCAGACATTACCTGACGTCAACACAACAGTTCAGGGAATGGCCACCGTGTGGCTCCTCAGCAAACAGTCCTTGGACTTTGTAAGTGCCCAGGACGTCATGACAAAGGAAATTTCATAAACAGTTTTTGTTCAAGTTGTGTAACATAGGCGAATGTCATTAGAACCAAAATACCCTTTGATCCTGCTCACTTCCTGCAACTGCACACTTTATTGCCAATAATCTAAGTTTAATAAATAAAATTATATGTACCATTGATCTTATCAGGTCCCTCTTGGCCAATACCCGGAGAACCACTTCAGTGAGGAGACTCCCTGCCAGCTGATAAAGGTTTTCCAAGGAGAGCTTGAAGTGTTAAGTGTAACCATCCAAGTCAGGAACAGGAGTCTGAAAGTGCCATACACATACCTGGATCCAGTAGGGGTAGAAAATAGTGTGGCCCTTTGAGTATCAGAGGGTGGGACCTCCTCAGCTGCGAGGAACTGCATGCTCTAATACTGATTCTACTGCATGTGACCATTGTACGCTGAACTGTGGTTTTTATACATCATTCTTGGTGAAACTGTGTCTGAAATCATCTTCTGAACTTGTCAGTGAATACACATCTAATGAAATTACAGTGGGAAAAATATTATTTTGCATTGTGGTTGTAACACTTTAGAAGTGTAATGTGTAATCTATGAGGGAACTGTGTGTCTGTTTCATCTCATGTGACAGAACATAGCATGATTCATTCGGTTCTGTCACTGTTGAAGGAGATTTTGTTTATTGTTCCTGTGAGGGATTTTTTTTTCTGGCAATGCCATTTCCTCCCATGCTGCATGTAATAAAGAACTGATTCTCAACATCAATATTGACTGTTTATCACACTTACAAATCTAAAATGCAAAATGTGAAGCTGCTGCAATAAGAAGTTTCTTTCAGTATAAACACACGCCTCTTATTATTACCAAATTTATTTTTCCCCTGTAAAGGGTCTTTGAGTATTTACAAAAGTGCTATTTAAATCAAATGTATTGTTTTGTGGCTGATTTGTAATTTAATAATTACAACCAAGGCCTCATAATTATTTCTCTCTATGTTCTACACATCGTCACATTATTTATTTTATTTTTTATTTATTTATTTAACAGGGACAATGTACAATATATGTACTGTACCAGATTTAGCTAAAAGCTGATTCCCATCTGCAGTCCCTGGGCAGCTGCCAATAGCGTGCAAAATATTACAGTAAAAATCGACTCCCAAATCTAAACCTTAAATTTCATAAATATATAGATAAATGCCAACCAATTCAAACAACTAAAACTCAAATATATCAAACATCCCAAAACCATAACAAATCCAACATCAACAATCCAGACACAAAAAGAAACAAACTGTCATTACAAGATTTTTACATACACAGTAAAAAACATGACTGACCACATTCAGTGTTTCATAGCTCAGTGACTACATACCACTACCTTTAAAGTGTTTGAATGTACTGCATTCTCTGACACTCAGTGGTAAGGAATTCCACATCCCAGCTGCCTTTACTGAAAAGCAGTTGTCCAAATGTTGTAGATCGAACCTTAACACAACAGTCCCCTCTAGAGGAAGTTCTTGTTAACCTTGAGCTGGGGCTGCTTATTGTTACATCCTGTTTGCCATGTCATGAATGATCTTATATACTAACCCAACATTGGACATAAACAGGAAGTTTTCAAAAGTCAACAGGTTATGCTTTTTGATTATATTACTATAATGACAGACGTTTTCAAGGAGGCTACCAACAATCTGGATGAGTTTACAGAGGCTGTGACGTCGACTACATCTGCTTCTGTGAGGACAGCTGCATTCCAACACGCACCAGGAGGAGGCATTTAGGAGTGGTGACAGGGCCGGGTGCAGGGCGTTAAAGTACAGGTCTAGCAAGGAGGTGCGAGAAGCTAAACAACTGTACGCAGAGAGACTAAAGAACCAGTTCTCTGCAAAAGACGCCACTTCTGTCTGGAGGGGGTTCAGACAGATCACAAACTATAAACCCAAAATTCTCCACTCCATAAACGATTCTGCAGTTCTACTGCCACTTTTATCTCTTTTCCACCAAAGCATTTTGAGAGTTGGTTCAGAGCCAGCGCCTACTCGCGAACCAGTTCTTTATGTTTCGACAGCCAAAGAACCGGTTCCTGGACAGGAAAACTGGTTCCAAAGCAACACCAACTCTTTGCTGGACTAATAATAATAATAATAATAATAATCATCTTTATTTGTAGAGCACTTTTCAAAAACAAGTTACAAAGTGCTTTAACAAGTGTAAAGACAATAATACCAAAGAGACAATAATACAAAAATAATACAAGATAAAAGCATGAAAACATTGAAAAGACTAAAATACACATTTAAGATAAATATAAAATTAGTAAAATAGAATAAATAAAAGGTATAAAATAAAGTCAAATAAGATCGGGAAAGGCTCTCCTATAAAAGTATGTTTTAAGAAGGGACTTAAAAGAGTTCACTGACTCAGCTGACCTGATTTCCTCGGGCAGGCTGTTCCAGAGCCTCGGGGCCCGGACAGGGCCACGTCATGCTTACGTAGGGGACTGGGTTATTGTGACCAACAACACAACGGAAAAGGTTGTGACTGCCATTGCTAAAAACAATGCTAGTAAAGATAGTACAATGATTGAAGAAAGATGGATTCTAAAGCAAAACAGTGGTCAGTGGAGGAGACAAACTGTTTGTTAGCGTCCTCGGCAGAGGTACAGCAAAAAAAAGGAGGAAATGGACGGCCACGTAGTAGAAATCCCCATTTTAAGGTTTTGGACTCAGTCCTCGTCGACAGACCGGCGTGCCAGGTCACTGGAGTGTTAAATTCTGACGCTGCTGCAGGGTATTGCCAACAACGTTACTGATTCTGGTCTTTCCTAATGTTTTACCTTGTTGCAAACAAACTATACATTTCTTATACCTGTGCTTGCTTGACCAGCCAGAATCAGCTAGCTAGCATGCTATTGCTAACAATAGCTAACACAGACACTGTATAGGGTGCAATGGAAACATTTGTGATTTAAACATGGTCTTATTTTTGTTGTTTATAGAGTAGTTGGGCATTGATTGATGATTGTGAACCTAACCGGGAGCTACCGCTACCACTACACTGCAGCTCACCAGTACAGTCTTGCAGCTCAGCAACTGAAAGCTCCTCATCTGCCTCTTCCAGTCAGTCCACCAGAAAGAGTAAGGATTCTTGTTATGAGTATCAACAAACTGAAATATATCAGTGTTCATTGAATAATTCACTGCAGATCTGTATGTGATTAAATTGCATGAAGTGCCCAATAAGTGTGTACTAGTGGTAGTGTAGGGATATGATAGTAGACATACGTTATAAGGTGTGTCAGTGTAGTATTATAGTATCATATATTATTTTGTTAATATGTTGCATTGACTCTTGTGTTGCAAAATACACTATCTGTGTTAATTGTAATGTTTTTTGTGCACAGGCAAGACGAAATGAGACATGAATGGGGAGCTGCTGGAATATTTTGAGAGGTCTGACGAAAGGTTCCTGCAGCACTGCAAGGAAATAAATGATACCTTGCTGAAGAAAATGGATGCAGACTCAACTGCAATGCTTGGACTCATGCAGCGTATAGTCACGGGGATGGAGAGGCAACCCCACTGATGAGTGCTACTGAATCAGAAAGAAACTATGTCACACACTCTAATATTTTAGGTTTTGCACAGTATAATTTTGAAAAAAAAAATAGCAATAGACTGTGTAATGAGTCCTCCATGCACACCAAAGTTAGTCATGGAGTTCCACAAGGTTCTGTCCTCGGACCAATCCTCTTCACTTTATATATGCTTCCTTTAGGCAATATTATCAAGAAATATTCCTTAAACTTTCATTGTTATGCAGATGATACTCAGTTATATCTATCGATCAAGCCAGATGAAACTCATCAGTTAGCTAAACTTCAAATGTGCCTTCAGGATGACCTGTAATTTTCTAATGTTAAACTCAGATAAAACTGAAGTTATTGCTCTGGGGCCTAAGCACCTCCGTGACATTATCTAAAGATATAGTTTCCCTTGATGGCATCGCCCCGGCCTCCAGCACCACTGTGAGGAATCTTGGAGTTATCTTTGATCAGGACATGTCATTTAAGTCTCATATTAAGCAAATTTCAAGGACCGCCTTTTTCACCTACGTAATATTGTGAACATCAGGAACATCCTGTCTAAAAATGATGCAGAAAAACTAGTCCATGCATTTGTTACTTCTAGGCTGGATTACTGCAATTCCTTATTATCAGGTTGCTTGAAAATGTCCATTAAGACTCTTCAGCTTGTCCAGAATGCTGCAGCACGTGTTCTGACAGGAACCAGGAAAAGAGATCATATTTCTCCTGTCTTAGCTTCTCTGCATTGGTATCCAGTAAAATCCAGAATAGAATTTAAAATCATTCTTCTTACCTACAAAGCTCTTAATGGTCAGGCACCATCTTATCTTAAAGAGCTCATAGTACCTTACTACCCCACCAGAGCACTGCGCTCCCAGAATGCAGGGTTACTTGTGGTTCCTAGAGTCTCCAAAAGTAGACTAGGAGCCAGAGCGTTCAGCTATCAAGCTCCTCTCCTGTGGAACCAGGTTCCAGTTTGGGTTCAGGAGGCAGACACCATCTCCACATTTAAGAGTAGGCTTAAGACTTTCCTCTTTGATAAAGCTTATAGTTAGGGCTGGCTCAGGTGAGTCCTGAACCATCCCTTAGTTATGCTGCTATAGGCCTAGACTGCCGGGGGATTTCCCATGATGCACCGAGCTCCTCTCTCCTCTACTTTCTCTCCCTCTGTATGCAACCTCATCCCATTATTGCATGTTACTAACACAACTTCTCCCCTTTCCGGTAGTCTTGTGCTTTCTCGTCCCTCTCCTCTCTCCTCCCATCACTTCCTGCAGGTGTTTCTGGCTCTGGAGCTGTGGAGTCTGGATCTGTGGTTTCGGGTCACCTGCTGCAAGTCCTATTGTTATTATTGTTATTATAATCATTAACATTATGATTATTATCACTACTGTAAATATCTGTACCATTTTTCATTTAGTCTATAGCAACATCACCTTTACTGTCTGTACCTCTGTGTGTATATTGTTCTCTCTCTCTCTCTCTCCCCCTTCCTACCCCCCCCAACCGGTGGAGGCAGATGGTCGCCCACCCTGAGCCATGGTTCTGCTCGAGGTTTCTGCCTCTTAAAAGGAAGTTTTTCCTTGCCTCTGTCTCCTAGTGCTGCTCTTGGTGGGAACTGTTGGGCTTCTGTAAATAACATCACAGAGTACGGTCTAGACCTGCTCTTTTATGAAAAGCGCTGAGATAACTGTTGTTTTGATTTGGCGCTATATACATAAAATTGAATTGAAATTGAATTAGCCTACATGTCACTAACACAGATGTTTGAAATTGATGACGATGGTTTAACTTGATTAATAATCTATCCTAAGAATTATTTAACCTACTTCATTTTATAGTGGGCCAACTCTCCCTAAATTTCCTTTTTTATGGCTACCATTTCACATAGCCTCCAAATCTTCACAGGATAGTAAACTGCTTAAGATATTACAGTATTTTTGCAGGGTTAGAGTTACTTGGGAGCTCAGCTCCCATAAAAAGGTTCTGAGCCCCAATGGAAGCAGTAAAATCATGCATCTGTGTTGGCCACCAATTAATTTATCAATAACCATTATTTTGAATCACAAATGTATTTTTCATGGATGGCTGCACTTCTCGCACAGTTTTGAACTAACAGGCTGAGACCACAACCATGTTCAACTAGAATTCACTGCAGCTTATTTGTTTAG